CCCGCACCGCCCGGGGCTCCTCCCCTGGGCACCCGCTGCACCCCCCGCGCTCCTCCCCACGGCAACTCTGGCCACAATTCTAAACTGAGTTAACTTCATCTTTCTTTTTGCCCCCAGCTCCCTTGCATTTCACATGCTGGTATTATTAGCATTGTCGTAACAATATCGTGCCCGTTGAGCAGACAGGTTCAGCTAAAGCAGTGTTGGGGTTCATTGGTGGTGTCTGATGCATTGAGGACTGCGTAGCTGAATTAGAAGAACTAATAGCTGTATGTATTCAGCTGATGTACGATACTAATAACTAACTGTTCTTTGTGCCGGGTGTTATTTATTGCACCAATATAGCACTGGACACTCCTGAAAGGACACATAACATTATTATACGGTGCTACAGCTCCACCCAGCTGAATGGCACAAAATGGGACAGGTTTGTTATTTACTAGATCTCTGCTTAAAATGACTCCCAAACTTGGAGGAGATGAGAAAAGTAGATTGACCTTCATTATTTTAGCACATACATATCTAAAAAGTGTTCTTCAGTCTCTACAGTCAAGCAAAGGGCTTAAGCTCACAATTATATTTGAACATGTAATTGATGACTGTTGCACATTGACCTCATTGTGACTGCTCCCACTCAGAATTGTGTCTTCCAGACCCCTCCTCAACCAGTCCACTGCTTCACTAATGTCAGTGATGTAGGGATTTTTATTATCCTGCTGCTTAACCTAGTCATGCTTTCTTTGAGGGTTATATAGATAAATGGTCCAATGTTTCACTTTAAAGGAGGAAGAGATATGGGACATCTCCAAGCAAGTAGAAATGACCATAGAGACCATTCACATCTTGAGGAAAGACCTCAGTAAAGCAAAGGTACACGTTGTACGTTCACTACCTGCCATTAGCTTCTGTTTCCACTGCCACCTGGAGACATGACTGACTCCAGCATGGCCCTCCAGCCCACAGCAGGAATCTGCTCTTTTGTTTCCTTCTGTTGCTGTCGCAACTCTGGTTTTATTGATGAGAATGAACTCTGACACCAGCTACTAACCCCTGCCTTGGCTGGCACAAAGGCCACTGGAGTTGTGCATTGTTGCCTTTTTCTGCCTACCCCAGGCAGAATGTTTCAGAATGTCTGAATGTTTCTGGAACTCTTAGATGCAAAATGCAAATCATAAGGAGGGAATATTGATCTTTCTAAGTTGTCAAGCCAAGACTGCTGGCCATAAAATAGTCAAGATCCTTAACATGCCCAAAATCTCATTGCAGGTAATGCAGGATAACGTCAAATATATTTTATTCCTTTGAATAAAGGTAGCTGTTTCTGGTCTGCAGGGTCAGTCAAAGAGCACGTTAGATGGGGCAGTACATTCTCATATTCCACACATCTTTTCTAACAAGACAATGAACTCCATGTTTGCTGCCTTTCAGGAATATGCGTCTCAGATCAAAAGCCAGATTACTAAAGATTTCTGTTGCATGAAGGAATATGTTGAAAGACAGGAGAGAAACACACTGACATACATTGAACAAGAGCAAAAAGCAGCTCAACAGAAAATGGAAGAGACTATTCACCAGCTCTGTGTTGAAGTGAGCGAGCTCACAGACATCAAAGCCCAAACGGTGAGAGATGAAGTGGCAGAGTACGAGTAGAAACTCTTAAGCTGAGAGTCTTGGATAGCTGAACATGTACAGAGCACTTTCAGGCCCCCACTGCACTATTCTCACTAGGGACAATGATACCAATCCACAGATGTTGCTGTTACCAGGGAAAGTTTGGAGTGAGAAATTCAGAGGGGAGAAGTACTAAAAAAGGCATAGGCCAGGGATGCAATTCAGAACGAGATTTGTTCCAAGGACGTTCATGAGCTGGAGTGAAGTGGGGACTGCATTGCTTAAATGCAGTCCTGAGGCAAATCTGAGGTTAGGATAAGATCCTTTATTATCTTTTTATTTTCCAGAATATGTGTATACACATATGTATGCAAGTTTAATAATTCACAAAGTTATTAAGTACTTTCTAAAAACTTTCTTGGGGAAAGTATGTCAAGGGCTCTCAAAAGAGGCAGTAAAATCACTTCAAATTCTGTAGAGCCTGTTTTGGTGTTGAAAACAACAACTCCAATGATGCAAATTAGCTAGCTGGAATTTGGAGTGGGGCTTGCTGGGTGTGATGGTGCCAGGAGACAGAAGTGGACTTCCAGGACCTACATTGGACCATTCCAGCGGCCTACATTGGAATTCACCTCCTGTAACTGTGTATTTATATCTGATCCAGAGTCCCGTTACAGGCAATGAAGAGAAATGGATACTTTTAGAGCGTGAGTCATCTGGCCTACTTCAGATGCCTACCTGCAAATGAGAATAATCAAGCCTTCAAGAGGCCCGTTTCTTTCCACAGACTATAAAGGCAGCCTGAGAGAACAAGCTCAGATGTAGATTTCCACAATTTCTAAATTTAGGCAAATGAGGCTTACCCTTTCGTGGATATTTTACGCTAGATCTCATACTGATACATTTTAAAACTTTTGGTTTGGGTTCTAGAACAAGAAGAAAGTTTAAAAAGAGAAACTTTGTGTATACATACGTATACTTAAGGAAATTGTAATATACATAAGAAAGATTAGTCCAATTTTTAGTTTTCTTGGGGAAAACAAATTATTTCATTTTTTATTACAAATAAACTGCCCTTTCATATTTTCTGTAAGATTTCAGGTTAGTTCTCTCAGATAACTATCCCACAAAGGAAGCTCTCAATACAAAAGATAAGGTTTTAGAGAGATGACTGCTGTTTTTCCACTCTGGCTTTCTAATATAATCTGATATGCTAGATGAAATATCTGCTATTGTTTATATCTTCCCCTTGATTCTTTTATGTCATTATTAGAGTAACTTACCTGAGAGACATAATTACGAAGGCTCACCTTCAACAATGAATAAAATTACACTCGATGAGAAGCTTGATGTTGTCAAAAGTGCTGTAGAAGATCTTAAGAGAAAGTTGGAATTTCTACTTTTGGAGAAGTATGCTCGGCAGTTCCCACCAGGTGAATTTTCCGTATTTTGAAATCTCTTTTTTAGAGGGACTGGATCTAGCAGGGTCCTGCATGTGACCCCCCCCTCAACTCAGTCCCTTGCATGGGGGGGTTGGACTGCCGCAATTTGACACTACTTTGACCCCACACTAAAGATTTGTATGAAAGAACTATTCTTGCAAACAGATAGGTCTGTAAGTTTGGAAAACAACCCAAAAACTTCAGAGAAAACAGGTGTGCATGTATGTGATTGTTATCAAAGCCCTTGCAGTTTTGGAGACAACATGATTACTTTATACTGCTTTCATGGGAGCCCAAAAGAAAAGAGCTGACTGACATGCAGATCAGTAATGGAGAAGGAAACATAATCCATTTAAATATTTTTTTCTAGATGTAATGTAACAGCAAAGTCTTTGCTAAGAGCAGACGTAAAATTGCCTTCCACCAAAAGCTGTGTCTAAGCAAAGCTGTAGATCTGGTATGGCCTTTGCTATGGAGTTCTGCTCCTCCCAGCACCGTCTCTCTGCTGTAGAAAGACCACTGAGTGTTTTTCAGAGGAACTTAAGACTGACCTAAAACCCCACTGCCACTTTTGGGCAATCCTCCCCTTCCCACCCTTTCCACTACTACCTGCCTTTTTCAAGCACTGGTTCTCAAAAACCCGAGACACTTATTCATATTTTTACCTCAGGGTTTTTCTTATCTCGATCATTTCAGCAATTGAGTTTACAGCTTTGCTCCACAATCATTTTTACTAGCAAAACTTGAGGAATCGGACTGTTCCATTCTGACCACACTTAGGGCAGCAGCATACAGTGTTTTGTTAATTTTGGATAAAAATGTTTGCCTACACATCCTTTGATAATTTATGCAATCAAAAAAGCAGCTCTTTGTTTTGCACTTTAGCCACCAGCTAGGCTTATTTTATGTATGTTTTCCTTTAGAAGCATAAATACTTCCTATTTATGTTTTGAAGAAGTGCCTTAACACTTTACTTCTTTCGTATTTAGTGCAACCTCCAGATTTGTATCAGGAGACAAATGTCTGCTCATTATCTCCAGAGCCTGCAGCTAAAAATCCAGAAACAATGATTTCAAGCCGGTTTTCTCAGTGTAAGTATGCAAGCCAGCATGACTCTCCAATAACGGTATTCAAGTGATTATGAGACTGTGGTTTTGCTGAAGAAAACTGTACTTACGAACATCAGCAGGAGATCCGGCTGTTTACCTGAAGCATAGAAACACAGTGAAGTTACCGTGAATTAATCAGTTACTGCAGCATAATGCAATACTGTACCTGACTGCATATGCAAGGTAAAAAGGCCACGAAACTGGTTCCGTGGAGGTCTCTAAGCTGTGTTGTAGCTTGTGCCGGCTGCAGTGCCCAAGTTGGTGTATGGGCACTTACTGCACCTTACTGATCTTTACTGTGTTAAGCTGTAATGACTCCATGTGTTGTCTGAATTCTGCATCATTTTTACAGAAATATTTTTATAGCCAACACACAGTACTACAGCTGTAGCTTAAAACACAAACCAAATGTTTTTGCCAATAAAACATGCAAGATCATGTCCCAGTGAACAGATGACTATGTAAGTTTTATTGAGGTAAGCATCCTATTTATTATTGGCAAAAGGGTAATTTTTTTATAAGATTGTGCTTAGGAATAAGATCCATCCTGTAGCGTGCCAAGTACCTTCACCTTCCCACTGGAGTGCATGAGTCTGTCATGGATGTTTACACAATTGTGCCCCTTAAATGTTTCAGTACGCTCAGGACACAGTTGTTAGTGTTTGGATGAGGATTCTTGCTGATTTGCAGGCCTGAACTGTGATTAAGGTTTATTGTATGATCGTTGGTTTTCACTTCTGTTCTTGAGTAGGGATGCACATCCACTGTTATTTAGGATGCGTGTAAATACTGAGGTGATCTGTCTTCTTGTTGCCTGCAGGTGAGCATATTTTCCTTTCTCTCTTCTAGGGGCAGAAGATGTGACTTTTGATCTCACACGAGTGTATGAGCGCTTAGCAGTCACAGCCCAGAACAGGAAAGTAATGGTTTCCAGCCACCTGACTGGTTATGAACCATCGCCCAAGAGATTCTGCATCAGCCAAGTGATGTGTTCGCAGAGCTTCTCTACCGGGTGCCACTACTGGGAAGTCATTACTGAGCACAGTGATGGATGGGCTGTTGGAGTTGCTCATGAAATGATTGGTAGAAGGCACAAATTAGGAAGAACAGAGCATTCCTGGTGTGTAGAGTGGCTAGGTGCCAAAAAGCAGCTGTCAGCATGGCACAGGGATCAAGAAACATTATTACACAATGATAAACCATTGAAGGTTGGAGTTTTCCTGGAGCTACAAAAGAAGACCGTGTCATTTTACTCCATCACTGACAAAGAAATGCTTTTGCATACATTTGAAATCAATACCTCAAATCCTCTTTACCCTGCTTTCTGGCTATATAGTCTAGAAAGAAATGGATCTTTAACTATAAGTCATACGAACAGGAGGTAAAGCCTGTTCAGAAAAGTGGCAATTTTGGCTATGACTGTGGAGCTTCTATAGTGTTTAGCACAGGATTTACCAAGGAGCGTATAGCTACCCAGGCTTTCCTGGAAATCAGCAACTGATACTTTTGTCTGCTTTGCTTTTCTTCATGCTGTGCTCTGATGTAGCCATACTTCATTAGAGCAATTCCACTGTATGCTAAAGGTGGTAACCATCCCTGTGGGAGTGAGGTGGATTTCTTAAGCAACTTTAAATAGTCCCAGGATATTGCTAGGAAGGAATGCACCAAGGAAGCTCTGAGGTTGGGGATAAGCCCTTCCCATAGACCTAATTTTCCTGCATTGATCCAAAAATTATATGAGAACAGATGATGCCATTTCATTTTGTCAAGTGAGCTTTCTTTAGAAAGATCTGATTAAGGAATGCTCAGAGGGCAAGAACATTACTCATCTCATGCATGAAAACCTTTCTGTTTAGAGTAGGTACTAAACTACAAGAAACAGGCATTGGATTTGAGGACATGATGCTTCTGGGAGGTCTCCCAGAAGAACATCATCTCACTGGCACTGTATCTTGTTTTAGTCTTGCCCAGGCCAAAGGGTTGTCAAGCCTGGTGGTGGTGTGACCATGGGAATGGTTTTGGAAGCAGATGTTTTAAAATGTGTTTGTACCAGCTAATAAATCATGTGGTCACTTTATTGCTCTTTTAAAGAGCCACCAAACAGGACTGTGTCGTTGGAAAGGACCGTCTTTTCTTGCCAGGGAGCCTGAGGAAACAAGAGGTTGTATGAGTTTCCTTGCCGGTGTACAGGCGATGTTTCTGCCCTTGTTTGTTGCATCCTTCTGGCTGCAGAGGTCCCCGTTGCCTGTGTGGGGTGAAGGGGCCAGAGCTGAGATCCCGCAAAACCTACCGGCAGCTGAATTTCTGAGAGGACCACTGCTTCATGCAGGCAAACTGAAGACAGAGTTCCCAAGTAGCGAAAGCTTTTTCAGGAAGACAGTGGCATTCCGGAATGACCAAAATAAGTAATGTGAATAAAGCATGTGGGATTCAACTAGCTCATTTAGCCAAAGAGAGCTCCATGGCTTTTGAAGTCATTGACAGAACTGCTGGTAATCTTCAAGGTTACTCTCCTTTGCTGTCACTGAACACTCTGAAAGCGCTTTGGACTAAATGCACATTTGCAAGATGCCACAGGCCTGTGTATCAGCTTCTGCAGGACCGGGGGGTCGCGCGCTCAGCGTCGCCGACAGCGTAGGGCCCAGCGAATGCTGCCGGCTCCTTGGGCCCGAGGTGTCCTTTCCTGGCCCAGCTGGAGAAAGGACAGCGACAGCATGACGAACGCACTGGGCGCCTCTGATTTTTCCACACACAAGTTGCGCCGTGCTGCCCAGGAGCGGTGTTTTGGTTCGGTTCGTAAATTACCACACACTTTGAACGGGAGCGCGTTGCCTCGCTCCCGACGCGTTCCCGGGCATCGGAGGCACTGGCTCGGC